TCCCTTCACTTCTCTGTGTTTCGTAGGGTTGTTGCTAAGTTCAAGTGACTTGAAACACAAAGTGAAAAAAAACTCAGAACAGAGTCTAGCCAAGTGCCAGCTATTTATTGAGTGCATGGTAAAGTGTCAGGCATTAGCCTGAGCCCTGAGGATTCCTACAGTCAATTGTCCCCACCGCAGAGAGACCGACCTTTTTTTAAATGTAACTGTTTCAACTGAAGTATGTAATATTGTTGATCTAAATAAAGGGGTAAACGGAGGCAAGTGCAAAAAAGATGAGTTTATTTGGGAATAGCAGAGGAATTGCAATTTGAGACAAGCAAACTGTCCCAAGCTACAGGGGAGTCCATTGAGGGTTTGGGGTAGGTTGTATTTGGGGGCAGGGGAAAGTTCAGCTAGAGGTTAATTAGAATCAAACTCAAATGGAGACCAGTTTTGAAAATGAAGGGGTTCAGGACAGCCCCCACCCTCCCAGAATGTGCCACTTTTTTTTTTTTAACGTTTACTTATTTTTGAGAGAGAGAGAGAGAGAGAGAGAGACAGAGTGGGAGTGGGAGATGGAAAGAGAGAGAGAGGGAGACACAGAATCTGAAGTAGGCTCCAGGCTCTGAGCTGTCAGCACAGAGCTCGACCCAGGGCTCAAACTCACAAACAGTGAGATCATGACCTGAGCCAAAGTCGGACACTCAACCAACTGAGCCACCCAGGCGCCCCTGCTCCTCTTATTACGTAAAGTGCATAGGTTTCTCTGAATTCCAGACCGCTATCCCCTTTCCTTAGTTCAGCATGACTTACGTTTTGCTTGTGTTTAGAATTTCCATGTCCGTGTGGATTCCCAGTACATCATACACCATGAAACTTGATTTTCTCCTGTCAACCTGTCTTATGTCAATTTGATTCTTAGTCCAGCTAGAAGGACCTTTGAGGGGACCAGAATTCTTGCTCCCTGACCTAGTAAAATGTATATAACATAAAATTTGCCATTTAAACCATTCTTACACGTACAGTTCAGTGGCATTACTCACATTCACATGGCCGTGTGGCCTATCCACTTCTGAAACTTTTCATCAGCTTAAAAACTGTCCCCCTCTTCCTTGAATAAAATCCTACCTGGCTAATATCATCTGACTCCTGCTTATTCCCATGACCTCGTTTCTTGCCACCAGACTCGCTCCACTCCAGCTCCTGTGGTCTTCTTGTCTTTGCCTATGCAGTTCCCTCTTCCTGGAATGCCCTTCCCCTTCCAGTCGCACAGCTGGCTCCTGCTCCTGAGAGATGCCATCCTGGGCCAGCTGACCTAAGATAGCACAGAAAAGCCCGTCTACTCTATAGCCTTTCACCCTGCTTTACCATCTCTCTTTATACATTTCTTAATTTCCTACCCTAGCGCCCCAATAAAATTGAAGAGCAGAGGCTGAGTCCCTCTTATTTATTTCTATACCCCGGTGGCCCAAATAGTAGCTGCCATGTCAGTCAATAAATATCAGTTGAATTAAATGGCAAGATAAAGGCACATTCAGGTTGCTGTGGTCCTGAACACATGGGGGTGGGGGGTGCCGTCTATTCCTGGTTGTTTTTGAAAGATTTCCAAGCAATCAGTAAACATTTATTTAACTCTGTGGTAGACAGTGTTCTTAGAATGGCCTGCCCAAGTAACCCTTACTCAGGTATAATCTCCTCCTCCTTCAGGGTGGGTGAAACCTCTCAATATGATGTGTTAAAAAAGAAATGGCAGATCCAAAATGGAGTCGCTTATGCTAAGCCCCACGTACCAAACCAAGACTTCGTGCCTAACCTAATTGCAGTTTCAGCCTTTCCCAAGAGTGGAATTTTAAATCAATCAGCCTGGAATTTCCTGATCGACACTAAGGAGATAATCTGCATGATAGATGCCTACCCTTCCCACCCCCATGGCCTCCTGCCCTCCAGGAAAAGTGACCTTGCCTGAAACAGTCCTGTCTTTTCTTTTACCGATAACTTCCTTGTCCCACCCATTTCTGCCTGTAAGTCTTCCATTTTATACAGCTCTTCTGAGCCTCTTTCTACTTGCTAGCAGGGTGCTGATTCGTGAATCATTGAATAAAGCCAATTTGATCTTCAAATTTATACAGTTGAATTTTTGCCTTTTTAACAGATTACATATCGCTCCCATGATTATGTTATGTGGCAAAGGGAGATTATCTGGGCAGGTGAGCCTACTCTACTCATGAGAGCCCTTCAAAAGCAATTGCCTCCGGTTGGTGGTAGAGATTCATTGCTGATAGAGACAAAGGCA